TTTTTTTTTTAAATGCAAACTTTTCATCTGGAGTGATAAATGAACTTTTTAAAGGCTGGAAAAGTGGCCTTTAATATCTGGGTCATCTCCATCTCTGCTTAAGGTTTTAGGGATAATCTTGCACTGCTTGTGAGCCCCAATGGTCTACATGACTTTTCTGGAAGTCATCAGAGACTCACATCTAGCTTCTAGGCCCTATTTGTCATGAGCAATACTCTTTGGCATGGTGTGTCAGAAGCTATGGAGGACCAAGCGATGAAAGAACAGGCAGCATTAGTATGGCATGGATATAACATGATACCAGCTTTAGAATTAATATAGTATAAATACCTGGCTTTTATTGTTATTCTGTCTGGGGGAAAGTTTCTAGATTTTATAGTAAATCTGTGCATAAAGTTCCAGGAGCAGGAAAGGCAATACAGTTAAGTTTTCAGTCCTCTGCCGACTTACCTTACCCGGTGCTGGTCAAACTGATCAAACTATGCAATAACCAGTGACATAAAATTAAAACAATTGTGCAAACCTGCTTAATTTATGCAAAGTACAGAATTTTTCTCTCATCACATTTAAACAGCAGGCATATTGAATTTCTTTCTCCCTTTTTTACCAGGTAGCGTTACCTAAATTTCAAATCTTTGTTCCCCTGACATAGAGAAGTACATAGCTCTCTTTTTGTAGATTCTTAAGAACGCATTCCTGTTGCTATGGCAGACGAAGTACATCTGTCACAGGAATTAGTTACCATTAGTATTAGTCTGAGTTATATGTAGAAACATGGACAGACCTGCATTCAAAAGGAAAGCAGGGATACCCCCTATTATTTCTTCCTCTTCTTTTTCTAAATCTATCTTGAAAAGGCAATAAGAAATCCCTTTTTTGGGGGGGAGGTCCTTCTGATCTTTTAAACTGGCTATAGATCTGGTAGTATCCCTCCTTATGGGACATTTAATTACATTTGTGTAAATATTCCTTTAAGCCATAATGAAAGCTATAATAATAAACAGTAAAATCTGGGCTGGTCCCAATATTGATACCATTCATTAGTCAGAGAAATAAATACAGTGGTATTCTGCTCCACAAATAGTGGACTTTTTGTGTTAATATGGCTAGTTAACATAGACATAAACTTAGTATTAAATAATAATGTTTTAAGTTATCAGAGAGGTTGTAGAGTAACCATACCACCTGCAGTCCAGAAAATCTACAAGATACCAGATTATGGAAGGCTTCCCTAAAAGGTTTTCACATTGTGGCAGGATCCACTATCATTAATGAACCTGGTAGAGTGAGGTGTCCCTCTGAGGATTTTATTTGGAGTCTCCTTAAGGATAGTCATTTATCTCTTTCATGAAGAAACAAAAAGATTGTGACTTTCTGTTCAGACACAAATGTCTTGGACCAGTCTCTTGCTTTGCATGGAAAAGTGAAAATAGGACAATTAATTTTTGTTTTTTAAATGCATTTGCCCATACCTCAGTTTTTGAGATTAGATACCTGCATTGTAGGATTTACTTCTAAATAAACAAACGTAAATTTGCATTATGAGGGAAAGTTCACCTGGACCTGGAGCTTCTCCATATATCAGGAGATACTCCTAAAGCTTATCTTTTCTGGCAAGGGGCTATATTATTATAGCATCATCCATTTACTTGGACCCCATTACAAAGTGATAAAATGTAACATGTTTATTGTCTTCTGTTTACAGACAACTGTTATTTTCAAAGATTCTGTTTTGCATCTTAATTCATGGGTGCACAACCTTAGGCCCTCTAGATGTTTTAGTCTATTAAGTCCTTGATATAAGTCTTAACAATCAAATATCTAATAATTATTTATATACTAAGAGTTTAGTTTTGATCAAAAATGTTACATGAAATGGTAAAGCTAAAAATGGGCAAAGTTCCTAGATGTCGTTTAGGCAACATGAAGTCATGTTCTCAAACTTTAGAGGAAAGTATTTATATAGGTGATAAAGTTGGTGTTGATCCTGTGCTTAACACTGACAATTGTTCAGTACTATTAATTTCCATTAATCTGTTCAGTATTACTGCTATTGGTTATAGCATTACAGTACTGTACATATATCATTGTAATTCTTTTTAAAATATAGATTGTATTATTAAGCTGTATGTTTACATTGTATTGCTGTAAATGCATTGTGTTATGGTTCAAATCTGTTAAAAAATTCTTGTGTAGAAAAGTTTTTGTAGTTTGTAACTTGTGATTATCCAGTGCAGAGGTTTTACACATTTCCTTTTATATAAGAATTTGGCTAAATGTGAAATAGAATTTAGTTAGATTTATATAGCAGAACCAGAGGATTTGTGCTCCCTAATTTTTAGCCATTTGTTCATACTAAATATATATGAATATGTTTCATTTTTCCAATATTTTAGTAGCATAATTTGTCTTTACTTTTTTATCATTAATACTTTGTAGTAATATGAACTGAGATTCAGAAAACAATGTGTGAGTAGAAATTGGAATTTCTAGATTTCTTTCTTTTATCCTGCCTTTTTTTTATAAATAAACTAGATGATCTATACTTTTTTTAAAAAAAGAACTCTTTTATACAGATTTTCCCCTTTCAACACAACTGCACCCCTAGTTGTGCAATGTCCAACTAATGTAGATAGGGAAGGGATTCAATCTGTGTGGAAAGAGATTAAAATGTTCACTTCGACATCTACATTTTAGCTTCTATAATAATAATTTCATTATTCAGTGTAACAGATTCAGTGTAACTGTCAATAATATCTTCAATTAAATGAGATGAGAGGAATCATATAAAGCCAGAAATATTTTTTAAAAAAATTGAAGAGTTGAATCTCACAGCTGTTCTTTTTTATAGTATTCCCTGTGACATTGTTTGAATCTTTTGAAATCTCATAGGCAAACTTAATCTTGATGAACTTCTTTAGAAAAATTACCAGTCTGCATCAATGGAGGGAAAATATCCATAAAGAATTTGACAGGGATACAGCTGCATGATCAGGTGGCTGATACAAACATTGGTTTAACATGTTAAACAGATGTTAAATCCTTTCACAGGCCATGACATAACTCCATCTCAAATATTTTGTGCAATTTATGACAAATAGGGAGAAGAATCACTGCTAGTTCCAAGTGTGATAATTTAGAAAGCAATAGGGATATCACATCTGGATTTCAACTACCCAGACTACCATTCTGGTTATATCCGAGAC